TTCAATCCCCAGCATGACCCGGGCCCCAGGCACCGCCACATGTGGCCTACAATCAAACATAAAATAAATTAAAATTTTAAATAATCAACTTTATTCGAAGTGTATCTTAAACACTTGTATTAATTTATTAAATTCATATTTATGTTATTCTAATGCATATCTATAATAGTGGGAAAGACATTTATTTGGGAACAGATGGAAATTAATTTTAATGTTTTACATTCGGTTCAGTGTTAATACTTTACATTTTAATTTAAAAAACTCAAATTCTGGGGCTGGAGCGATAACACAGTGGGTAGGGCATTTGCCTTGCACGTGACTGACCCAGGTTCGATTCCCAGCATCCCATATGGTCCCCTGAGCACCGCCAGGAGTAATTCCTGAGTGCAGAGCCAGGAGAAACCCCTGTGCATTGCCAAGTGTGACACAAAAAGAAAAAAAAAATCTCAAATTCTGTACATTTTTTAAAGTGTTTTTTTCGGGGGGGGGGGGGGTTGGGGGGCCACGCCCACTGGCTCTCAGGACTTACTCTTTACACTGCATTCAGGGATGACTTTTGGTAAGGCTTAGGTGACCATTTGGGATGCTGGGGATTGAAAACCAGGTCTGCTGCCTGCAAATGCCTTACCTGCTGTCCTGTCTCTCCAGCCCCCTGGAAAGTGTTTATTATACTTTTATCTTTTACAACACTGTAATCAACAGCACACAGATTAGGTAAAGTAGTTATCAAATCAATTTATTATTATTTGGGGCCACACCTGGCAATGCTCAGGGGTAGGGGTGACTCCTGGATCTGCATTCAGAAATTCAGAAATTACTTCTGGCGGTGCTCAGGGGACCCTAGAGGACCCAGGTCAGCCACATGCAAGGCAAGCACCCTCCTTGGCATATTATCTCTCTAGCCCCTAACCAAATCAATTTAATGAGTAATTTTTTTAAAGACAAAAATAAATTTTTTAGAAAGGAACGCCCCCCCCCCATGAGGGTGCCCCGAGTGAAACAGCCTGGCTCGGAATCTGGCGGCATGATTATGGTGAATGTCATGTTACACTCCCTTCCAGGAGAGAAGGGCATGCAATCTCCAACTTATGAATCTTATCACTAGTCAGTGTATTGAAATGTATGGTGCTATCTCTTATATTCTTATTCTCTGTGAATAAATATATATTCAGAGACTGTCCAACACATGAAGATTAATTCCAAGTTCTGTTTCTATACCTCAGAGACAGAGGAAAAGCATCTCTGAAATAACAAAAAAATTATTTCATTTTTGATATTTCTTCCTAGGGCTGGAGCGATAGCACACCAGTAGGGTGTTTGTCTTGCACGCGGCCGACCCAGGTTCAATTCCTCTGTCCCTCTCGGAGAGCCCGGCAAGCTACCGAGAGTATCCTGCCCGCACGGCAGAGTCTGGCAAGCTACCGTGACGTTTTCGATATGGCAAAAACAGTAACAACAAGTCTCACAATGGAGACGTTACTGGTGCCCGCTCAAGCAAATCAATGAACAATGAGAGGACAGTGCTACAGTGCATAGAAAGGTATATCATAATTTAATGAGTGAAAGGCTTTATTTTTTTTCTTTTTTTTTTATTTTTGGGTCACACCCGGCAATGCATAGGGGTTACTCCTGGTTCTGCATTTAGGAATCACTCCTGGCGGTGCTCGGTGGACCATATAGGATGCTGAGAATCGAACCCGGGTTAGCCACGTGCAAGGCAAACACCCTACCCACTATGCTATCACTCCAGCCCGAAGGTCTTATTTTTTCCTTTGTTCGCTCTTTGTTGTTTGTTTGGGGACTTCCCACGCATTGCTCGGAGGTGCTGGGGGTTATTCCCAGGGATTGATGATGGGGAACAGCTCAACACTAGGGCCAGGAGACACGGCTGCAGTACAGTAGTGCTCTGGGGCTTCCAGGGCTGCCCCTGGTGGTGCTCAGGGCTGGACCGGGGCCATATGCGGGGCATGTGGCCCTCCAGACCATCTCTCCAATTCCTGATACTTCCTTCCACACTCCCTTTCTGGCTCATTAACAAAATACCCAGACATGCACAAGAACAACTAATCCAATCTGTTTGAATTTAAGCTTGCCAACTTCAGAGTTACACATTCTCCAGTTCTTACACTGTAAAGCTGTATTTGGCACTGGAGGAGATTAGAACGTATATGATCTTGTGGCGATTTTTTTAGAATTTTTAAGGGCTTTTGGGGGGAGAGGGATACACCTGGCAGTGCTCAGGGATCACTGCTAGTGGGGCTTGGGGGGGTCCCTGTGGTGAGAGTTGGAACCCAGATTGACTGCCAGGCATGCACCCCCCCCAGACTCCCTTGGCTCCTAAAATTCTGAACTGTTTCATACATACTGTATGCAGACCTCCTGCCCAGTTCCACCAATTACCCCAGGCCCATTGGTGGAGCCTCAGACTCTAGCAGGGTGATGGAAGGACATGCCTCGAACAGACGCCTATGGCAGAGCTGGATTCCACATCCCCCACCCCCCCACTCCCCCCACCCCCGCGCAGGACCCCCCACTGCCCACAGAGGGAAGAGGCCCTGCCTTCTGCCCCCAGAGCTGCAGCTCCCCCCCACCCCCACCTGCAATGATGGCTCTTCCCGGAGTTCCAACAGTACCAGGAGAGGGCGCTCTTGCTCTGTCCTCCAGGTTCCCAGTTGCCGGTTAGCATCTGGTCGCCTGCACACAGGGCACAGTCCTGGCCATCATGCTGACCAGTCCAGTGTGGCCGACCCAGGGTTCCCCGATGGGTCACCCATGCCCACAGCCCGAGGAGGTCTCAGGTTCTGTTGCTGGCCTGGGTGCATGTGTGCTCCAAAGGCCACCAGCAGCCCATCACCACGACTACCAGCCCTGGCACTCTGCCCGCAGACGTGCCACTAAATTCCCACAGAGCCAAGAAACGCTTCTCCCCACACCCCCTTGCAAAGGCAGACAGCCTCTGAGGCGCAACTCCCGCCTCCCTTCACCCCTGGCCCCTAAGAGCTGATGGGAGAGACAGAGGTTTGCTGTCCCAGGAACCGCACAAACACTGCATTCAGGTGGGAAGTGGGGTCGCTTCAGACAACTTCCTGCAAGAGGAACTGCCCACCCCATCCAAGAGTGGGCAAAGCCGCTGCCAGTCGGCACCAAACACTTCTCACAGCTTGTCTGTCATGCGTGAGGGAAGGAGCTGATCCCAGCCAGGCCCCTGCCAAGGCTTGAGCGCTGGGCGCAGGAGAGGCGGGTCAGCTGCACACTGGGGCGTGGGCCTCACCCGCTCGCCCAGGGTGGTGGGCGGGGAGGGTGGAGGTGAGGGCCTGGGAACACTCCCATTTGCAGGCCCAGGTTGGCATCAGCGGGAAAACAGGCAGGAGGAGGAGGAGGGGTTGGGAGGTGCGGTGAGATCTGGACACTCAGCCCTGGGTGGGGCTGGGCGGCCTGGTGGGAGCATTTTCGGCAGCAACTGGAATGGAGATCAGTCCTGGCACGAGGAGGGAGGACAGGCCGTGCTGGTCATGAGGGCTCGGCCAACAAGGCACAGGGAACAGTGAAGAGTGGGCAACCCCCGAGCAAGGGGAGAGGGGACCCTAGATGGGTTTGCACGGGGGGAGGGGGGACAGGGGGGCAACAGGAAGGGGGGCAACATGGGCGGAAAGTTCAAAGGAGGGGGGACCAGGAGGGAGGCACAAGCAGAAAACCAACATCAGGGAGAAGTGAGCCAGATGGGCAGGATGGAACTGAGGCATCCCTGGTAATGATGACCCAGAACAGAGATCCCCAAGTTGAGGCAAGCTGGGAGCAGAGCACTGGACCCTCATCAGGGTGGGCGACAGGCAAAGGCCCACCTGGGACGCGCAGCCAGAACAGACGAGGACGGTACAGGGACGGTACAGCCACAGGACCTGCTCGCTCCAGAGAGAGGCCCAGGAAGGGAACACCTGTGCGAGATGGATTCAGGGCCCGGGAGACGCCCCCTGACTAGTGTCTGCTCACAGGCGTGAAGCTGAGACTTGGTCCCTGTGATGCCCATAGGTGCAGGTGTCGTCCTGGCACTCAGGGATTTCATGGGTGTGCGTTTGTGTTTGTGCGGGTGAGCGTTTGCACACATTGCGTGTTCAAGACAAAGGTGGGCCAAGAGACAGGGGGGCAGCAGGAAGATATTCATGGGCAGAGGTCAGGGTGGGTCATGCCAGGACCAAGGTCAGCCCCTTTGGCAGACTTCAGGAGGGGTGCTGAGACAGGGAGCTGAAGCTGGGGTCTCCAGCGCAGCCTGGGGACTCTGTGTCATACCCCAAAGCAGCGTAAGGGGCTCCGTCAGGCAGCCAGAAGGGGCTCTGACGGAACAGACCTGCCCAAGGATGAGGGCAGGTGTCCACGCTTCTCCAAGCTTCGGCATCTCAGAAGACACAGAAATCTTCTGAGGGCCAGTTCCGGGGTGGGGGGGGGGGGGTGTCACAAAGAAACAGAGAAACTACTAAGGCTCTAGAAACAAAAGGGCGAAGGGTGAAGGGCTGCAGAAATGGGACAGCAAGGAAGACCCTTGCCTTGGGCACAGCCGACCCGGGTTGATTCTTGGCACCGCACAGGGGTCCCTGATTCCCCAACAGGAGAGATCCCCGAGCACCCCCAGGTGTGCCCCTAAAACCAAAAAGGAAAAAAGGAAAGGGGGGAAGGCCAGCCCCCGTGGGAAGGCCATGGACAGCACTGTGATGTGGTCACACAGAGCCACACCTGACACCTCAGTCCCCCAGAGCACTGGCCAGGGGCACCTTCTGTGAAACTCCTGGTCTCTCCTGGAGCCAATTCCCAAGAGAAGACCCCCCCCCCCAGAACTCCCTCCCTGCCCCCCCACTGCAGGCCGGAGCCTGTGAGCAGCTACACTCCAATCGGCGGGGAGGCAGGAGGGTCAGCCCAGCCCCAAGAAGCCCCCACAGGCAGGACCGATGTCCAGGAAACAACACTGCCCAGTCTGCACATGTGCCCGGGTTTATTAGTGCCCATCCCGGAAACTAAGCTCCTGGCCAGAACAGGCAGAAGGGGCCAGCCGGGGACCCGGAACAGGGAGGGTTCCTCAGGCCCAGCCAGTCTACCGCCGCCTTCACCGGAGCAGGGACAGTCGTGTTCACTCCAGGTCAGCCCTGCAGTCGCTGAATCGCACTTGTGTGATGGCCTCTGCAGGCAGAGTCCCCGACTGCGCCCCACCGGCCAGCCCCCACCATAGTTCCTGCTGTCCCCAGTTCCTAGGACCCCACCACCATTCGCTGGACAAATTCCGTCAAGAGCCTCAACTGTTCCTCCAGGTGCTGGGCATCCCCGTGGTTCTCAATGACCCAGTCAAAGGCCCCAAAGTTGTCCAGGCCACATTCAGACTCAGCGTCGTCCACCCCTGCAGACAGAGAAGGCACCGTCAGATCTGGCCTCCCCCTGCCCAGTGGGTGCACTTCCCAACCCCTGAACAGAGTAGCCTCCGAGACTGTCAGAGTAGGGTTGGCTTAACTCTTCCCTTGCCACTCCCTGCAGGGGTGAAAGGGCCAGTTTCTTAGATTGGGGGTCAAGGTCAGAAACCTGAGTGTGGGAACCCCCAAAGAGCTGGTCACACTCTCTGGCACAGCCATAACACCAGACGCACAGAAACCAATCTCATAATTATCTGGCTCTTAGCAGAAATCCAAATTCGCGGCCGCGTGACAGTTATAGAAAACAAAGCATTTCACAATGCCTTTTCAGCAATTCTGATTGTTGGGGGGGAAATTCTAAACAATAACGGTGCATCTTTTGTCGAAATAATGAATGTAATCAATGTAGAGAAGAGTTAAGTAGAAATCATCTGCCTCACAGGCATTGGGAGGGGTGGGGGGAAGGGCATTTTGGGGTTCTTGGTGGTGAAAAATGAATACTGGTGAAGGGAAAGGTGTTTGATCATTGTATGACCGAGACTTAAACCTGAAAGCTTAGTAACTTTTCCCACAGTGATTCAATAAATAAATATAAGAAGAAAAAAATTAATAAAATTATGAAAAAAAGGGTGGAGTTCATGCCCAATTCAATCAGCTAATCAGTGGCTGAATAAATAGCAGTACTCCTACATTAAAAAAAAAAAAAAAAAAAAAAAAAGCTGGCCACAGCAAAAGTTCATGGAGAGCGCAATGACCAGAAATGAATTCAGGGCTGGAGAGACAGAACAATGGGTAGGACACCTGCCTCACCACAGCCGACCTGGGTTTGATCCCCAGAATCCATAGGGTTCCCTGAGCACCCAGGGGATCAAACTTAGGTCAGCCACATGCAAGGCAAGCGCCCTCCCCGCTGGACTCTCTCCAGTCCCAGAACCACAGGCTGGATCCCTGCGGACCTCAGGAAACCCAGGGGCCCAGACTGCCCAGCCCATGTGAGGGGAAGAGTGCTGACCCCACCCCTCTACAAGGTGGTACTCCTCAGCACCAGGTGCCCTCCGGTCATGCAGTCCCTCACTAGGACCCCCAGCACGTGCAGAGGAAGGGCGGGGGGGGGGGGGGGGCCGGGACTGGAGCATGGAGCCGCACCTGGCGTGAACACCCATCCTCGCTGCTGCCGGCTTTTCTCCTCTGCCACCACGCGCACCGTCTGCATCAGTGGTCCGTAGGCCTCCTGGAACCACTGGACGTCTGACATCCTCCGTGCATCACTCACCAGCTGCGGGGGGGACACAGATGGCCAGTGAGCAACCTTGGGTGCAAGTAGCAAAGGCTGGGCCCAGGCCAAGAGCCCAGCACTCCCGAAATAAGCAGGAGCAGGGCTGAACAGGACAGGTGTAAGGCTCCCCACCAACCCTGCCATAACCAGCATCTCCCAAGTACAACCAGGAGTGATCCCCAATCACAGTCAGGTGTGGCCCCAAAACCAATAAGCCGGAAGTTCAATTTCCATCCACCCCTGCGCAGGATTTCTCATCCTCCTGATGGGACTCCAAAGCTCTCAGCCAACCTACTGATTGCCCCCCACCTTCCGCTAACACCCCTCTCCCATCCTCCTGCCTCCCTCCCCACCTCTTTCCCCTGACTCCCCCCTCCCCCGTCCACCCCCCCCCCCGTCCCCCTTTCCAGAGTGACTTCCAGGTGACCACCTGGGAGCCATTCCCAGAGAAGCAGCCCAGACCTTCATGTTTCCTCCCAGAACTAATAGATGTGCAGAACCCCCAGACGTGAGGCCACAGCCTGTCTGGAAACGGGAACCCAGGCTGGGCGGGGGGGTGGGGGGGGGTGCAAGAGGGAGCAGAGGCAGCAAGCAGCTCGGCTGCCACTGTCCAGGGCGGAGTGACCATGTGGCTGCTCAGCACCAAGTCCTGGGGCCATGGCTTGTCTCAGCAAACGCCACCAGGGCCCTCTTCAGAAGGGCACAGAGCTGAGCCCTGGCTCAGCCCACCCCAGCCTCCCTATGATCCTGAGCTGTCCCTCTAACTCAATTCCTGCAGTCTGTCTGGCAGCCAGAGCGAGGCTTTTATTTAAATTTTTGTTTGGGGGCAACACCCAGGTTACTCCAGGCTCTGCACCCAGGGAATCACTCCTGGTAGTGCTCAGGAGGCCCAGTGTAGTACCTGGAACTGAACCCTGGTCAGATACCTTCCCTGTTGTCTTCTCTCTCTGGTCCCTGATTTTTTTTTTTTTTTAATCAGTGCTGGGCACGGAACTCAGAGTCTCATGCCTCAGCCCCTGCCGGGCCCCAGGAGAGCCTTCTATCCTTTGTCCCATCTCTCCCTGCTCAAAACCCTCCATTCAGTAAATCCATCTCATGCTCAGTAAAATCCAGCTCTTCAAAAGCTTCTCTGGGCCAGGATGATAGTATAGTTGGATCACCTTGCATGCAGCCGCCCAGGTTTGATCCTTGGCACCCCGCATGGTCCCCTGAGCACCTTCAGGAGTAATTCCTGAGCACAGAGCCAAGAGTAACCCCTGAGCATCGCCTGGGCATCACTGTGATCAAAAAAAAAAAAAAAAATTAAGAAGCTTCTCACCGCTCTGGCTCCCATCACCATCCCTTGACCAGTTCTTCAGTGATGCTGTTCCTCTTCCTTGAAAGTGGGTGCCCCCAATATCCACTGACTCATTTCCTCCAGGTCCAGTTCAAATGCTGCCCATCAGGGAGGCGGCCTGACATGCTTAAATGAAGCAGCACTCAAACCTTACCTCTCCCGCCCCCAGCTCTTCAACCTGCTTCTCCGGTTCCTTAGTCTTTCTCTCCATATGAAGATATGGCACATCACCCATTCACTCACAATCAAGCGGCTGTGGGTAAGCTCCCTAAAGGCAGGAAGTCACTGCATTCTGCACTGATGCATCCCAGCACCTGGGCCAGGCAGGAATGCCAGAAGCAGCAAACCAAGGAAGGAATAAGGGACGGTGTGGGAGAGCACCAGCCTGTTAAGACAGTGCATTCCCCGCCCTGCAGACTCACCCACACCCCAACCCGAGATATGGACTCACAGCTTTTTCCTGACAACAGTCAGGCTAATCTTCATGTATGCAAAGAAACTCATGTAATCCATAAGAACCCATGTGTGAAAGCTAATCAGGTGGGCCAGAGCCACAGCACAGCGGGTCAGATGCTCGCCTCTGACCTGGGACCAATCCCGTATACCACATACAGTCCCCCAAGCCAGGAGTAAGCCCTGAGTTCTGCCAGCTATGGCCCCAAAACAAAAGCAAAAAGCTGCTTTGGAGAAGCTGGTGTTCTTCTCTCCCCTCAAATTTCTCTAGATGAATTTCCCTAAATAAAAAGGGGAAGGGAGGTATCAAGCCTTGGTATACCGAAAGGACATGCAGCACTTGGTAAAGTGGTTGGGATATGGAATTAACTGGGGTGTCTAATGGCAAATGAGAGAATAATGAAGGTGTAATGTATATACATAATGGAATACTATGCAGTCTCAAGGATTAGTGAAATCATGCAATTTGCTGCAACTTAGATGGAACTGGAAGATATGTTAAGTGAGTCAGAAGAAGGATAAATACTAGAGGACCTCACTTATCTGTGGAATAAAGAAAATAGGACGAAGAAGTGCAAGGTACCAGAGGGAGATACCTAGATCATCCTGAGAGGACAAGGAAGGAAAGAATTCAAAGGGGAAGGAAGGAGTCAGAAGACTGCAGTGGCAGGGGCTGTGAGCACATGGGCAGTATAGAGGTGAGGGATATGTATATATCTAAGCCACGGAGTCAACACCATGGAAAGCATGAGACCCACACCACAACCAACAAACTGAGAAATGGGGCCAGAGACAGGACAGCAGGCAAGGTATTTGGCCCCGGGTTCAATCCCACACCCCACTTGGTCACCTGAGCCCTGAGCAGAGCCAGCTGTGAGCCCTGAGCTGCCAAGTGTGCCTCCCTCCCCTTCCTACCAAGAAAAAAAAATAATAATTAAAAAAAAAGGAAAATGGGTGGGAGGGAATCTGAGGACATTGGTGGAGGGAAACTGACATTGGTGGTGGGACTGATGCTGGAACACTGTGCCCAAAGCTCTATTATGAACAACTTTGACAATCAAGGTGACTTAAAAAAAAAATTAAGACAACTTTAATATCACTAAAAAATTGAATTTTTTAAGAAAAGAACAAAGGGCTGGAGCAATCGCACAGTGGGTAGGGCATTTGCCTTGCACGCAGCCGACCCAGGTTCAATTCCCAGCATCCCATATGGTCCCCCGAGCACCACCAGGAGTGATTCCTGAGTGCAAAGCCAGGAGTAACCCCTGGGCATTGCTGGGTGTGACACCCCCCCCAAAAAAAAAAGAAAAGAAAAGAACAAGACTTGGGTTATGAGAGAAGGTTTCCCTGCAGAGGTGCCATGTTGGCTGAACTGGACAAACCTGGGCAGGAGAGAGAATGGGGAGGCAGGACACAGGAAATACCGCAACAGGCTGAAGCACAGGCTTTGCATGCAGGAGCTCCCAATACACTCCCAGCACTACAGGGTTCCCCCAAAAACCAAGAACAGGGGCTGCTGGATCAATAGTACAGTGGGTAGGGCGTTTGCCTTGCACGCGGCAGACCCGGGTTTGATCCCCAGCATCCCATATGGTCCCCCGAGCACTGCCAGAAGTGATTCTGAGTGCAGAGCCAGGAGTAACCCTTGAGCATTGCCAGATGTGACCCAAAAAAGCAAAAAAAAAAAAAAAGGACATTGCTTTAAGGTAAACTATACAAAAGACATAACTTATAACTTACAAGTTCAGTGTCCTTAGAAGGATCTGATCTTACAAGCTAACAGAATCTGATTAGGGAGAAAAGGTGATTAACTGGCTGGGGAGGAGAGCACAGAGAAGAGTTTACAGATAAACAGAGGAATGGGAACACTATGATGGGTGTAACCCAATAAACCTAAGCTCCCTGTGGCAAGGGAGAAAGGACCAACCAATGTTATCCTACACCTGATAACCTCCAAGTTTGGTCCAAAAACACTAAATGAAGGCATAAAGGGCCCCAGCAGATGGGCAAAGAAGAACCCTGATGATTCCAGAGGAATGGCCTGGTCTATCTGAGGGTCCACGAGAAGGCTGCAGTGTCAGAAGCACGGATGCCCCAAGGGAAGCAGGAGGCTGCTCAGCTGAGGCCCAGAGCTGCAGGTGACGGTCTGACCCGGTCCTCCCACAGTGGGGCTGAGGCGCTAAACAGGAGTGGCTTCGCCACAGCTGCTGTGTGACGAGTGGATTGGGGGACCAGAGTCCACGGCAGGCCCTGTGCAGAAGCTACGATGCCCAGCAAGGTGGGAGGGGGAGCTCAGCTGGGCAGGGGTGGTGGCTATTGGTGCTAAAATGGACGGTGCAACAGGGCAGGGGAAGGGCTAGGGAGACGGCTCTCTCTGCGCAGCCGCATGCGCCAACTCACCCACACGGGCTGGGAGACGCCCTCCACCACCTTCCTGCAGAAGAAGCCGGGGTCAGCCTGGCGCTTCTCCTCCCCCCAGCGGATCATGTCCTGCCGGTAGCTCTCCTTGTAGGTCGTGGCATCCAAGAGTCTCTGGAAATTCAAGTTGTGCTCCTGCAGGGGGCACAGTCCGTCCATATCCCACCTCTCCCAAGGCAGGCTCCCTACGCCCCTCACCTCTGCTCCCTCACAAAAAAAAAAAAAACCTGGTCCAAAGGCAGGAGGAGGGACCCTCAGGGGTCCGCAACTCAGGGGCCTCAGCGGAGGACAAGGAGCGAGAAAAAAAAAATCCCAGGGGTCAGAGTGATAGCACAGTGGGTAAGGCGTTTGCCTTGCACACAGCTGACCTGGGTTCGATTCCCAGCATCCCATATGATCCCCCAAGCACCACCAGGAGTAATTCCTGAGTGTATGAGCCAGGAGTAACCCATGTGCATCACCAGGTGTGACCCAAAAAGAAAAAAAAAAATTCGTAAGTGAAAATGGAAGGTCTAGGGGAACCCAGACACCGTCCCTGTTTATCTCTCAGCTGTCTCACTTGGCAATAGGACTTCCCAGATACTTTCTGGTCAACAAATCCAGAAAAGTGTCTGCATCTCTAGCACAAACCTGGCTTTCAACTGAAAGGGAAGATGAAAAAACTCTGCACCCCACATCCTCCTGCTACTGCTCAAGCAGCACCGTCCCAGGGGACTCTGCTTCTGTCCCTCATGACTCCCACTCCCAAAGGTCACGGCACCTGTACCAAAGTGTCCCTCTCCTTCAGCCCAGCACTCCAGGGAACCACCTATCCCAGTGCACCCTGGGCAGGAGGGGCTGCTCGGACCACCGGGGACAGCCACAAGCCAAATTGAAGTGTCACCCAGCTCAGGTCCCAGCATCCCTTCGTTCTCAGCAGACCAAGACCTGTAGCCTGGAACTACAAACTCATGGACCCTGACACAGCCTCCCAAGTCACCTCCCTGCCCATTTCATTTAAGGTGCAGCAGCAGCTACCTCCTTGCAAACTGGTTTCTCAGAGGCCAGGCCACCAGAAAAGGAGAGTCACCAGGGGCTTGTCAGTGCCAATCTGCTTGTCAGTCAGATCATCCACGGTGACTTTAGCAATCAGCATATCAAGACCGGAGCAATTGTACAACAGGTAGAGCATTAGCCTTGCATACAGCCACCCCAGGTTTGATCTCCAACACACCACGTGGTCGGTCAAGCCTGCCAGGAGTGATCCCTAAGTGCAAAGCTAGGGGTAAGCCCTAAGCACTGCGGGATATGACCCAAAAACAAACAAAAAAGAAAGAAATCAACATGAAGAAATTGACATATAGGGGCCAACATGTAGAAATTGATACACAGGGGTCAATTTCATAAGAAATTGACACATAGGACTTCTGGGAAGTCCTATCCACACATAGGGGTATATATTAAGGCATTTGCCTTGAATGCAGCAGACCCTGGTTCTATTCCCCAATCATAGCAAGGAATGATCCCTGAATGCAGAGTCAGGAGTAAGCCGAGTCCACTGGGCATGGATCCCCCAAAAAAAAACAAAAAGCAGTGCATTAGAGCCCATTCAAAAGCCTGAGAGCATGTTTTGCATGCATGAGGCTAGGATTTGATTCCCAGCACAAGGTCCCTCAAGCACTGCCAGGAGCAACTCCCAAGCAATGCCCCAGGAATAGCCCCTGAGAACTGCTTGCTGTGACCCAAACACAAGAGAAAGAGCAAAAAGAGAAGAGAGCAGAGCATTGCTGGGTCTGAGCACTGACCAATCTGGCCTGGTTGACCAAATATCACAGGGAATGGCCAGTGGGTTCCCTGAACCCTACTTGGAGCCTTCTCTTAAAAAATAAATTAAAAATAAAAAAATAAAAGAGGGGCCAGGGTTGAAGCAATAACACAGCAGGTAAGGCACTTGCTCTGCATAAGGCCAACTCAGGTTCCAACCCCAGCACCCCATATGATCCCCTTAGCCCACCAGGACTGATTCCTGAGTGCAGAGCCAAGAGCAATTCCTGAGCATTGCCAGGTGTGCACACACCCCGCCCCCGCAAAAAAATAGGCACCCACAGAAAACCCAGAGTCACAAGGATTCAAACAACAGGCAGAGCAATGAAAGGTCTGAAGCAGATTTTCTGCAATCCCCCTAATACACACACATGCACACACGCACACATGCACACACACGCATGCACGGACACACGTGCACACACACGCGCGCGCACACACAGACACAAATGCACACAAAGACACACACAGACATATACCTACCTTGGCAAACTCTTCCTTGAGTGGACCTGAGAGTCGCAGGATGGCACAGACATCAGCTCCCAGTCTGCAGGACAGGGAATAAATGCTGAAGCCGGTTAACCCGGAGCTGCCAGGCCCAGAGAAGGAGCTCAAAAGTCCATTCAAGCTCTACTGGTCTTTGGATCTACTGATCTCTCCACTTCCCTGCTCCTAACTGCTCATATGTAAAATAGGGTAACTGTATCTGTCCCAGTGCCCAGGGGCTTGTGATGAAGCTTCAGGAGGGGCTGGAGAGACAGGACTGCAGGTAGGTCGTTTGTTTTGCAGGCAGCTGAGCCAAAGTGGGTTCCTGGCACCCCATATGATTCCATGAGCCCCACCAGAAGTGATCCCTGAGGGCTGGGCAGGTTTGTCCCCACACACAAAAAAAAGAACAGAAAAAAAATTTAAATGGGGAGAGTGAGGGTGTTTTGGGACCACAACCAGTGATGCCCAGGACCTACTCCTAGTTCTGTGCTCAGGCGATGCTCCTGGAGGCAAGAAGGAGACCATGCCCAGGACAAAAGCCAGGACCTCATACAGGCCAAGCTAGGGTAAGGTAAGTCTGAAACATAGGCCTGCTACTTCCTAGAAATTTGACAAGTTTGGGTTTTGCTTTTGTTTCTCACCTTTTGGCAATTTCCTTTCTCCACCTGTGAAATGCGGAACAGTCTAATAACAGCATATGCTACCAAGAGCTTGTGAGGGTAGAATGAAATCACATCTATCTATAGAAAGGTTCAATAAACGCAGCTACTGGGCACTGTTTTAGGAATCTGCTACAAGGAAGGGAGGCGGGGACTGGAAACCCTGCCAGTCTCCTGGTGCTGAAGAAAACACCATCGTTAAGCACGGCAGCGTGGAAAGAGTCTGGGCAGAAACTTTTTGTTAATGCTTACTGGAGCGAGAGCTCCAGGTGAGGGAGACTGGAGAGGTGGCAGAGCTTCTTCCAAGCTGGGCACCCGCAGCCCGCGGTGCTCGGGCGGTGACAACAGCCTCGGCCCCTGCAGTGCCAGGACCCCGCCTCCAGAGCCCGCTACCCCCGCGCTGCAGCCCAGCCCGGCGGGCCACGTGCCGCGGGATCCCGTCCCTCCTACGTCCCCCCACGCAACACCTGCTCTGCAGCGCGTTGGTCACGAAGTCTTTCCCGGATTTCCTCTTCCCGCTGAACACCAGCACCAGCCGCGGGGAGCCTCCCGCCGGGGCCATACTCGAGAAGCCGCCCGCGGGCCGCCACGGCAGCACCCTCTTATCCCAGCATTAGCCATCAGGCCACCGGTGACCAGCGCCGCGCGGACGACACCACTCGGCAGCAGGGGGGGACCCCGCCCCTCCTTCCTCGGGGCTGCGAAGAAAACGGCTAACCCGCATCCGCGCTCCCGCACACTTTGAGAAACGTCCAAAGAGGGAAGTGTCTAAATAATTAAAGTCGGGGATAAAGAAGGTGCACCTCCAGGACTGCCCTTTCCCCCGACGGTGCTCCCCTCCTAGAACGGTACACCTGGAACCATCCTGTCCCCTCCCCTCGTGACGTCATGGCCCGCCTCTGAACTGACTGCGCCGAGGCCCAATGGGACGCGACCATTTTCCAGTGGGCGGGCCTTAGCCTCGCGGGAGAACCTCGCGTTCCTTTCAGCACGTCCCTACGCACGACCCGGAGGAAGCAGAGAGATAACGGTGCCAAACACAACTCCAAAGCTCCCTTTGTCTTTGTGTAGCATAATGTCGGTGCGAAATCGCATGTGTTTTCTCCCCACGGTGAAAACGCAACTTTCTGGAGTTGGAGAGCGACTTAGTCTGCCGAAGGGTGTGTTCGCTGACGTCACGAGGGGGCGGACCGAAGCGAACTGGCTATTTGGTTGTCAAACGGGTTTTCTAGCCGGACAGGCGGCTGTGGTTGGGCCTTTGGAGTCTGGGAGACTGTCTTCGGGTAGGACTGGCTGCCCAGCATTTTTCTGAGCCTGTCAAAACAGCGCCCCCATTACTGCTTGCATCTTTTGCACTATACGGTCAATGCAAGTGAAAAGGTGAGGGATGGAGGTCTTTCCCTGAGCACAATAGCAGCTAAGGAAAGAAGGTCAGATGCCCAAAGAACAAGATTCAGGAACTCTCTGTTAATTGTAAGCGACTCTTCTGAAAGTTCTGAACTCATGTCTCGAAGACAACATAGCGGACTTTCGATTCTGTCTTTTACATTCACAAGAAAGTCACTTTAGGGGCTGGAGCGATAGCACAACAGGTAGGGTGTTTGCCTTGCACGCGGCCCACCCAGATTCGGTTCCCAGCATCCCATATGGTCCCCCAGCACTGCCAGGAGTAATTCCTGAGTGCGTGAGCCAGGGGTAACCCCTGTCCATATAGCCGGGGGTGACCCAAAGAGAAAAAAAAAAGTCATTTTAGTCACTGTTATCTGTAGTGCCCACCTCCTAGGGTTGCAGTCAAACAAATGAGATATATAGAATAAAATACCATAAAGTGCTTTGTAAACACTGAAGTATCATCCAGATGTAAGGAGTTACTGATTCTTAGCACTTAGTGATTTTAGAGCTGTTTGTTTGAAGGGACTCCCAAGCAGTGCTCAGAGGGACCAGGAGCTGTTCCCAGCCACACTTACAAGGTCTGGTTAATGGGGCTAGGTGGTTCTGAGGATCAAACTCAGACCTCACATCTGCTAGGTCTCTACTCTTTATCTCCGAGTTATACTACAGTCCCAAGGCACAGTTGGTTTGTTTTTAGGTCTTTTGGGGGGGGGGGGGTTGTTGGTTGTTTTTTGGTTTGGGAGCCACATCTGGCGATGCTCTGCACTCAGGAATTACTCCTGGCAATGTTCCTGGGGTAATATGGGATGCTGGAGATCAACCCTGGGTAAGGCAAGTGCAAGGCAAGTGCCCTAACCCACTCTACTGTCTCTATGGCCCCTCAAGGCAGCCTTTAAGATAGAAGGATAGGGATTCAGGAAATGGAGGAGGAGTGAGATTGTCCAACAGGAGCAGAGACTATCTGGAAGGGTGTGGCAGAGACCCGAAGCCTGTGAGGCCAAACACTGCTATTCAAAGGCTTGGAGGGGCCAGAGAGAACAGTAGCAGATTGGCTACTTGGCTTGCATGCACCGTTCCCCAAACCGGACCGGCTTGCCTTGCATGGTTCCCCCAACCTCGCCAGAAGTGATCCCTGAGTAAGTAAGCTCTGAGCATAGCTAGGTGTGGCTCAAAACCATAAACAAAAAGTTAAGGGTGGGAAGATAATACCAGGGAAAAGTGCCCCAGATGCCCCAGAACTCGGAAACACAAGTACCCCTGCGAATTGCCCCTTAGTGAAAGGCTCAACCACTTAAAGAGGAGTTTGGGAGGAGAGAGTTCATCAGGATAAGTATATACTTTGAATGTAGGAGGTTCGGATTCAATCTCTGGCACTGCATGATCTCTCAAGTACTGCCAGAAGTGAACACCAAGCTGGGATCTGGGAGTAGCCCGATGACTATTGTACAGTCAAGGTTGTGTGTTTTCAAAAGTCCGGCAGCACTCTATCTCTCCCACCACCCGCGTTCTCTAGTCTCACGCAGGCGAAGGAAGGAACGAGGGCCAGGCTGGTCAATATCAATTATAGTTTATTCCAATCTTCACTCCCTTCTGCTTCTGTCTCTCAAGCCTGAGCCCCCCTCACTTCTGACTCTGCCCTCTGGAGCCTGAGCCATACAGTCTTAGTTTATATAGCAGTCACGTAGGGTAATGACACAAAGGTGGGTTGAACATTAACAAATCAACAAAGAGAGGTAAGACCACACCTCCAGGACATTAACTCAAGGATAAAATCTCATCTAAAGAGATTACTCCAGATTACTAGGAGATCTGCTCAAGGGTGGGATACCAAAAAAGGTGTGTTTTTACCTCAGCTAGTAGCACTGTAGCGCTGTCCTCCCGTTGTTCATCGATTTGCTTGAGCAGGCCCAGTAACATCTCCATTGTGAGACTTCGTTGTTACTGTGTTTGGCATATTGAATACGTCACGGGTAACTTGCCAGCTTTGCTGTCTGGGCGAGATACTCTCGGTAGCTTGCCAGGCTCTCCGAGAGGGGCGGAGGAATCGAACTCGGGTCTGCCAGGTCGGCCACATGCAAAGCAAATGCCCTACCTGCTGTGCTATCACTCCAGCCCACCTCAGCTAGTAATCTACTTAAATAGTTGTAGTAAATCTATTTTCAATATTTCTAGCAATGTCATTCTGTATGAGTACAGTAAGAAATAAGTATAAGTAAGAGATAAACTTAAGGTTTGGTTCTTCCTGAGGACATCTCACTATATATTCCGCAGTCCTTTAGGCCAGGTTAGTCTTCCTAGCCCCAGCAGGGTCCTAGTCTCGTTGTTACCTTTGGATCATGATAGCATTTGTCTATGACCATGCTCTCAACTTATAGTTGAGTATTGTGGTGCTTTGGCCTAGCCCATTTTGATACCAGGGTAGCTCACAGCCTGCCCTGGGTCCATTCAGTCCTTCCTCGGGACCCTGCTTTTGAGGTGCTAGGAACTAAGGGCAATTAAGTCAAGAAAGCAGATGCCCAGGAGTAAATATCATTCAGAGTCAATCAACTCCCAAGTTACAAAACATAATATTAACTGTCTTCCTGTGTCCATATAGAAAGGACTTTGCTTTAAGGTAAAATATGCAAAAGATAAAACTTACAATAAAAGTTCAGTATCCTTAGAAGGATCTTTTAAGCTAACAGAATCGGATCTGGGAGAAAAGGTGATTAACTGGCTGGGGAGGAGAGCACAGAGAAGAGTTTACAGATAAACAGCGGAATGGGAGCACTGTGATGGGTGTAAGCGATAAACCTAAGCTCCCTGTGGCAAGGGAGAAAGGACAAACCAATGTTATCCTACAAAGGTAACTTTTTTGTTTGGGGGCCACACCCATCAGTGCTCAGGGAACCATAGGTACCAGGGATCAAACCTGGGCCTCTTGCATGCAAAACCTAAAGCTCAGCCCATTGAGCTAACTCTCTAGCCTAATAACATAGCACAGCGGTAGGGCGTTTGCCTTGCACGCAGCCAACATGGCCGACCCGAGTTCGATTCCTCCGCCCCTCTCGGAGAGCCCGGCAAGCTGCCAAGAGTATCTCGCCCGCAGGGCAGAGCCTGGCAGGCTCCCCGTGACGTATTCGATATGCCAGACACAGTAACAACAAAGTCTCCAATGGAGACGTTACTGGGCCCGCTCGAGCAAATCGATGATCAATATCAATTTGTGAAAATACATGCCTCTAAGAATCAGAGTGATAGCACAGCAGGTAGGGCATTTGCCTTACATGCAGCTGACCTGAGTTCAATCCATGGCATCCCAAATGGTACCCCAAACACCACCAGGCATAATTCCTGAGCACAGGAGCTAGGAGTAACCCCTGAGCATTGCCAGGTATGACCCAAAAACCAAACCTCATCAGGGATAAGCCTGAATAAAATCAGGGAGTGCCTCTGGGCAGTGGGAGGAGATCAGTGCAAGAGTGTTACCTCACTCCTTGGGAGGCTCACGACAATAGTGTTGGTGGGGTGAGTGCCTGGGAAGGTCTCGACTGATCGAGTCTGCAATCTCCTGTGTGGCAAAGACACCAGGGTCTTGAGCAGCTCAGTAAGGCAGGCTTTGGGTTAGACCTAAGATGCACTTGATGTAAACACTTCTTGTCTGGGAACTCATTCCCAGCACTTGTACTTCTGGGGAGCTGTGGTTCTCAGGTTGAGGCAAGATGAGGATCTCCACGGGAAAAGGGTCAGTGTCAGCCTGCATCTGAGTCCCAACTTCTTTATGTCTCATGGAAAACAATGCAGGAGAAAAAAGTGATGTAGAATCTTTTTTTTTTTTTGAGGAAAAATAAGAGGCCCATCACTTAATCACTTAATCACTTAACTTCCCGTTAGTCGGCGATTTGTGCGAGCGGGCGCCAGTAACGTCTCCATTTGTCCCTGTCGCGTGCTAGTGTAGCCCAATGGCATCTGTTCGCTCCGGGAACATGAAGGGCCTCAAACCGATCGTTCATGATCTTGACGAAGAAGTCTGACCATCTGGTAGGTGGGCGGCCACGCGGTCTTTTGACATCCCGTGGAATCCTATCAGTAACAGCTCTAGTCCAGCGGTCGTCTTTAAATCTCATTACGTGACCAGCCCATCTGATTTTTGACAGCTTGGCAAATGAGACAGCGTCCCTGATTCTTGATCATCGACGGATGTCAGAACTCCGGATTCTTTCTCTCATTTGAGTGAAACGTGATATTCCAAG